AATTCCCTTCAAAATTTTTTTTTGAAAATTTGATTTTTTTGAAGATTAAAAATTTTTTTTTTGGAAATTTCAACTTTTTTTCAAAAATTTGACATTGAAACTTGTTTTAAACAAATAAAAATTTAAATATAATTTCAATTCGAATTTAATCCCGATTTTTTGTGCACTTCAGCTGCTTTTAGTTTATTCAGAAATGCATATCCACAGTAACGCAGATTCTTAAATTTTTTAATATTTTTTACTAGCTTAGATAGTAATTATTATTATTACTGATGGTAACTACAACCATCAGGTTATATTAGAAATTACGATTTTGATAATAGTAGTAACTAATTAAAATAATAACAGTTATTATTACTGATTACCATTATAATAGTATCAGTTACCATCAGGATGGTAAATACTACAATTCAGATAGTTTACTTAATTATTTAAATAATATTTACTACTATCGAATTCAGTTAATAGATTTTAACATAACTAGATAATAAACTCTACTATAAAATTTTCTCCGTGTACTGAAATAAGAATGAGAACTTCTGCCTTCCCAACTAAGTCTCAAAAAGTGGTGGTAAGGAGCTCCACAATTTCTGGCCATTTTCTGGACGAATTTTAGCCAGAATCTTGGTCAAATATCTGGAGCGATTCTTCGACGATTCTTGAAGAATGATCTGCCGTTTCTTGTCCAAGAATTGTAAAAATCTGCATACAGATACTTCATCACGATTCTTGAGCCAGACTTGCCCAAGATTTTAAGTATTGATTTACAGAAATCAGTTGGAAATAGAAATATTAAATATTTTAATTTAAGTAAGTAAACATACTCAAAACAAAACAACCCACGTAAAGACGGGCATTGTAGTATTCCCATAATACCTAAAAAAGATGAGTCACAGTAGAAAAAAGGATGAAATAAAAATACGTCAAAGAAGTTAAAGTAAAGATGAAAACAAAAAAAAACTAAAGCTGCTGACAAAAAGACCTGATTGCACATGAATAAAGTGAATATTGAAGCCTTAAATTAGATGTTAGAGTTTCTACATTGTAGAAAAAATAAAAAATCAATTTATAGATTCAAATAGATTGGCTGATTGATGAGTAAATAAAAAATCAAAATAATTGTAAGATCAGGACGATAATACGGATAGTAAATTTACTGAGACGTGTATACACAGATATAACGTTAACTCATGACTGTTTGCATGTAGAAAAAATAAAGAACAAAATACAAGCAAAAGTGGAAGTCAAAAAGCAGAAGTCAAAAAAAAGATGGCAAAAGTTAAAATAGAGAGAGCGAATTCGGAAAATAGAGCATGGGGACCACCGAGACTGTGCAGGGTTGAGCGAGATAGAAAATAAGGGTAGCTGAGAGAAGCCGCTCCATCGATTTACCCGGGGGACGTGCATCCACCGTTCATCGACTACTACTCTCTCTCTCGACTCAGTACCAACACAACTCTAGTACCTTGACATTCATATAGACTTTACTAACATCCGTATCAATTTGTACGGTCTTTTTCACTGAATACGTGACAGCAAGTCAAAGTCCGTCGAGTATCATCAAAAAATTTTAAAAACTTTTAAATGAATTTTTAATTAGACTCAGTAATATTTTAATTCATCCTTCAGTTATTTTTATTATAAGTTTCAAACCTTAGACATTTTACATAATAAACATTACTAAGAACTAAGAACAAATTTTAAACGACCACTAATTTTTATACTAAAGTTTAGAGCTTCATCTTAAATATAAAAAAATTGTTTTTTTACGTCTAACTTTTAGAGAGACATTAATGTGAGTTATTCATCATAAATGTCCATCACTCCATTAACCTCACGTCAAAATACCATACTAATGATAACATTCTATTCACCTGACCAGTCTTGTATTGCTTTCAATTCAAACTAATTGTTTCAATATTGCTTGCAATTTAAATTAGAGGTGAACAAATATCAAGCCATAGTTCAGG